GTGCTGCGAGGGCCTTTTGAACATGTAATTGTTTATAATTGTCTTGTTCTGTTTTTAGAGACAGTTGGAAAATATCTCACAAGCCACGTACTTAAATTTGCTCCCTTCAGCTCTTTCTTTTTTGACTCCTATCCCTCTTATGTGTTAACTGGATTTGAATACTTGTCTGCTTTTCTGTGTTTTGTGTGAGCAACCTTACTGTATATGTCCCAGGATATAAACATTTTTCTCACCTATAAAAATCTGTGACCTTTCCTATGTAAGTGTTATGATTAAAAACTTGGACCAAAATCTGCTTCTGATTCAGACACCACCTGTCCTGGTATTACAGAAAGGTCAGAACAGATTTACAGCAGCAGATGAACAAAAAGCATTAGAAAATCACACAAAGAGAAGTTTGTGCAAAACGTACAGAATGGGGTCTATTTTAACTTGTATTTAATCTCAAATATTTAAAGAAGTGCCACTAATCAGGATGCATTCTGGCAAGATAGTAGGGAAAATCAGCAAGACAGTCAGAGGAAGAAATCCCTCTGCCTTCACTGAAGATTAACCCATCTGTGTCAGATGCACCAACAAATGATGAGCAAAAGCATGTCAGGCAGAAATAGCATAGGAGGGCAGTAGATTACTTGAGAAGTAGCCAAAAATCTTAGATTCTAATCTTAATTTTAACAGTATCTTTATTACTCAGGACAATTATTTCTATGCCTTCTTTTAATTATTGTTTATAAAATGAAAGTAGTATCTGTCTATATGTAAAAAAGCAGTTGCAACCATCTGTGAGTGACAGCCTGTATAGGTAGGAAGTCCGTGAAAGCACCGTGGAGGGACAGAGGTGTTTTCTTTGGTCTCAGGATCACACTGTGCTCCTTCACATCCCAAAAGTGAGTACAAAGTAGACCCCAGACTTGTGCAAGGAGTGAGTCCAGGCAGATGTGAAGGTTGTTGTAATAGCGGGTGTCAGCAGGGAGAGCGGTGTTCTGAGCTGGCCTCACCACCTGTGAGGAAGTTGTGACCCTCTTGTCACAAGATCCCTTTATAGGGAGAGCAGGAGAACCCCTGTGGGGCCGGACAACAAGGTGCAAGGCTGTTTGTTTTTAAGAGCTTCTAGGGCTAATTCTTGGCAAACTTAAATCTGTGGTCTCTCTTAGTGTGCTATCAGACTGGCTGTATAACATCAGCACTTTGGGAAGTGTAGGATTGTAGACTCATGAGATTTATCTTTGGTTGAGAAGTAGAAGTGCTGCAGCTCTTCTGCAGAAGTGCTGCAGATGTGGGTAGCTAACCTCAAACCTAACTTCCAAGGTGCTGAACAGGAGGTTGTATGCTTGCTACCTGGTGTGGCCAAGCACTCCGAAAAGGCACTGCCTCAGAGAAGTTTGAGGCAGCCATGAAACCTTGTGGAGGTGAACTATTAATACAGATGCAACCTAAATGTGTGTGGGGTGAGCCGGTACATACAGTCAGTCTGTAGTGTTCAGTTCTTAGCAAAGGCATAACAATTCAGTGGTATAATATCACATAGTTAATAAGTTAACATTTATAACAATTTTAAATATCAGAGTCTGTCTGTAAAAAATAAAAGTATAAACCACCCTCTTGAAAGTATTACATCTTGCAGTGTAATAATGGTAGCCTTCATGAGTATACTGAAGAAATTGGAAGAATGAATCATTTTTAGCATAAATAATGTTTGTCTTATTTACCAATAAATATTAAATGATGGCTTCCACAATTACAAGTGTGTTCACTGCATCTCTGAGTTTAAACTCATATGAGCAGCACAGGCTTGTGTTGCAGCATGAGAATATATATGGCATAATTACTCTAGCTTCATTAGGAGGGAATTAAACATGGAAGTGTAGGATTTTGAATGGATCGATAAACTTTTCTGTAGAAGTATTGTTGACTCTTATTCCAAAAATCCAAGAGGCCTTTTTCCTTTTCTTTTTTTTTCTTTTCTTTTTTTTTTTTTTCCAGCAAAGTGAGCTTTTCTGCTGTAAACACCATCCATTTGGTACAAGTCACTTTGTTTCAGTGGAAGATCCACACACAAAAGGGCAGAGAGTAGAGCACAAGTCTTATGGGAAGCAGCTGAGGGAGCTGGGATTGTTTGGTCTGGAGGAGGCTCAGGGGAGACCTTCTCTCTCTACAGCTGCCTGAAAGGAGGCTGTGACAAAGTGGGGGTTGGCCTCTTCTCACAGGTAACAGCAATAGGATGAGAGGGAGTGGTTTCAGGTTGAATATTAAGAAAAATTTCTTCTCAGAAAGAGTGCTGAGGCAGTGGCACAGGCTGCCCAGGGAGGCGGTGGAGTTGCCATCCCTGGAGGTGTTCAAGAGCTGTGTGATGTGGCACTGAGGGATGTGGTTAGTGGGCATGGTGGGGATGCGTCAGCAGTTGGACTAGGTCTTTTCCAAATGATACTACAAAAACTGAGCCTTAGCTAAGAGCACAAGGTGACCCGAAGTAGCCCTAGCAGTGATGTGAGCTGCAGGAGCGTGTGCCTGCTGGCACCTGCCTGCTGTGCAGTAGGATCACAGGCTGAGCTTCCACGTGTGGAAACTTCTGCTCCTCCCTCATGTTTATCTAAGACCCTGGTGCTGCTGGAGCCCTACTGAGCTGAGTTGGGGGTAGGAAGGGGTAGCTGAGGTTGAGGAAGAAGGTGTGGAAACTTCTGAAGCTTGCTCTGCTGACAAAGTCAACATGGGGGAACTGCACCCTAAAGCAAAAGATTGAGGAATGCAGAAATGCTAGAATATCAGCAGTGAAGGGGTGCGTGGAATTACTTCCAAGTTTATGTTTGTTTAATACTGGAAAGTAAAGTCTTGATACTTTTATTAGTTGATTTTAAGATGCTTATGTGCTGAGCTGTATTCTCTCAGTTTTGGTGTGTACTCTGGATTTTCATAGCAAGCAGTCTGAGCCTGGCCAGTGAGGAGAAGGTAGTATGGGGATGTATTTCAGATACAAAACAAAAAGTTGGAAAATGCTGAAAGGATTAGGAGGAGAAAAAAAAATCAGAACATGAAGGAAGAGTATGAGCAAAGCAAAGTGCTAAAAGAACTAGATATAAATGATCTCTGTTAGTAATACTTAACAGAAATGATCTCAAGTTTTTTTTCTGCAGTGAAGTTCCGTAGATAGTGATATCCTGAAGGCAAGAAGAGTGCCTAGTGGAAATCAGACTCGTTCTTCGGGTCGTGGTATGGAGAACTTCTGTACTAAGTGAGGTGTATTGGCATCAGGAAAAGCTATGCAGATCCAAGATGATTTTTTAATTCTCTTTTAAAGGGAGGTGGGAGAAAATAGGTTATATATGTAATTTGTACTTCAGAGTATTTTTCTAGTGTGCCAGACTGCCCAGAAGTGTTGGAGACATCTCCTTCACAAAATGGATAAACGACGCAAGAAATTAATAGAAGAGAATAGTAATTGATTTGCTCTGTGTTACAAAGAGGCAAATAAAGACAGAACTTTCTGTGTACTTTCCTTGAAAAAGCATCTTAGTGTTTTGGAATGTGTTATGAAAGATTACCGGAGGTGCTCTGGAAGTACATGGCTCTATAATGAAGAGGATCTGTAAAAGACAGGAAAGAGCTTTTCTTTTCTGTTTTGAAGCAGATCAGAAAGATCTTAACCTTAGCAGTGGGAGCATTCTGTCCTCATTTTGGCTCAGGGAAGCTTAACCCTGAGCAGCTGGTAGGAAACAATCATATTTTTGGACTGTATTTTCTATTTTGTGTGAATGTTAACGTATGTTTAGCTGCAATGCTTAATGCACAATTGGAATAAAACCTTTCTTTTCGGAAGTGCTACTGAGTCATGCTTACCTGTGGCTTTATAGTCAGTGGTAACGGGGCTTCTAGTCTACATCCAAATCCTTTCTCCAAATTCTGACAGAATTCAATAAAATGCAAATAATGTGTTTTATTCTTTTATTTAAATAGCTTTCTGCTTATCTCTTCATACAAATAAAAACATAACTGCTTGTGCATTTATAAATAGTGAAGCTAAATTTCTAAAATTAATGAAGAAGGCTGTTTGAAGTGGTTATCACTTCACTGCAAAACTGAATGTTTCTCACGTGCTATATTGATATGATGATAGGCAGTGCAGGAAGTGATCTGTCATTAACATCCTCAAATATTTTCCTTTGTATGATTTTGCTTTGTAGTTGCATGTAGCTTAAATGTTTTTATTAAAATGTTTGCTGCTGGATTGTACTTAAGGATGATTGTAAGAATCAGGGCAAAACGAATGTTCCCCTCCTTCCAGAGATGGGATTCTGAAGAATGTTTTGACCAAGGTAAACTGGCTATAAGGACATATGAGACTTTGGACTGCTGACATTTATAATGGACAGTGAGTGTTTCCTTGGTAATTATAACACGTCTGATGTCACCTTTCTAAAATTTCTTCTTAATTTGCTTGCAAACCCCCATTAGGTATGTTCATTATTCAGTAGAGTTTCGATAAATCTGATGGCTGTGATTTGTGATGATTCCATCTGCCCTGAGCACACTCCATTTGACTGCAATCCTTAGTGTAAGGACTGTGAATGCCTTCTAGCTGCACGGTGGTTGTTGTTTTGCCAAGGAATGCTGCAGTGGGCAAGTCATCAACTATGCCATTGTTTTTTTTTTTCAGAAAAAAGTAACACATATACACATAAAGTTGCGGGGGGGGAAGATTCTTTGGTTTGGTTTGGTTTTTTTTCAGTTGGAGGACAGCCTTAGTTACACTATCTGCCATTTCTGTATGCTTGAGTTATGAATATGTCAGTATGATGTGAAATAGGTACTTTGCTTTCATCTTAAGCTTTTTGGGGCATGGCTTTTTCAGTTGCAGTGTATGCAGAATCTGGGCTGTGTGTTGGAAAACATGTTCTTTGTCCTTTTAAGTCAATGCTCTTTTGTATTTAAATTGAATCCATTGGCTCTCGAGTACAATTGAATAATTCAAGTCCTCAGTGTTGCAAAATATCTTTGTTTTTCAGTTCTGAAAACAAAGGGAGTGAAGCCATAAATTTAAAGAGCAACCAAAAGGAAAGCACAACTCTTCCTGCACTTTTAAAGGTATGATTTTTTTATTTATTAATACTGAATTGAGCTAAGCTTGCTACATTTGCTTGTGGTTCTTTGCTATGTTTTGAGGTTGGAGTTATTCATGCACAGTGAAGTACCACATAGTTGCTGTATTCTGGGTTAGCATCCATTATGCTAGGGTATGCATGTGGAAAAAAGAGATTGTCCATACTTCATGTTACTGAAACATAGTTCATGTATTTACTTACATGAAAGAAGTGGAAGTCTAGTGCCTATTCTACATGCAGTCAGCCAGTGAAGGAGGAAGTTATCAAATGATGGTTTCAGGCATTCCCCTAAAGTACTGTTTCTGTATAATTTATGACTATCTAACCAGCAAGTGTTTTCTTGACGTTTCACTAGTTGCCAACCAGAGCGTTCTAAGATCTTTCTGCTGAAATACTTGCACATTGCCTATTCTTCACCAGTATAACCCATGTTAATCATGCTTGTCTTATCCTTTAAGCATTCTACTGCAAAAACAGACATGTTTCCATGTAATCAGTTTTCTCCTGTGAGTCATTTGACACAAAGTGGTAGCTGCCCATAAACTTGTGTTTAGGTTTAGTCAAATATCATAAATAGCTATATAGAAGAATGGGGCCTGGTGATACAACCCTCTTCCTAATAGTTGCTGTAACATCATCCCCTGTGGAGTCATTCTAGCAATTCTTTCACTCTAACCACTTCATTTTGTTCTTGTTCCTAGCCTTGGTAGCAGTGTAATACAGATAATCTTGTGACAGTTTCCACAAAAGGACCTTGACTAGTCCTCCAGACTCCTCTGTGGATATAGTAGATTTTTTCACGGGCTGAATCTGAGGTTTTCAACCTGTGTTGCCTCGACTAAGCATTAGAAGTACACGGGGAAGTGGTCTTTTTCTTGTGTCTTGCAGTCACTGGATAGTTTCTTTAGTATCTTGGGAGTATTTGGCTGTTTTGGCAAAGGACAAGAGGCATCTTTTTTTTTTTTTTTTTTTTTTTTTTTTTTTTTTTTTTGTCTCACCATTGAAAATTTTTATTTAATTATGTTGTCTTCAATTTTTGTTTGGCAGCCTAAAGAGTTAGACTGTGTGTTTCAGTATCTTTTGAAATAATATCTGACCGTTTGACGTTGATAAGCTTTAGAAGGAAGGTGCAACTTTCAATTACCACAATATGCTGGTTGTTTACATGTGTTGAGTGCTTCCTGTCTTAACTTCTTTCCCTTTTTCTTAGGTTAATCAGAAGTCTTCTGATACACTTCAACAGTTTTGTACATATAGTAATAAGTGCTCTTAGCTCAGTAATTTTTTTTTTTTTCTACATTGCATTGCAATTACAACTCAATAGTAAGAAGTGATTTAGAGAAGTGGCCCACCTCAACCCTTTTTTTTGATGGATAAAATCCTTTCTTTTCTTGCCACTGCTCCCTCCAACACATACTTTTTTGATAGTACCACTCTGTTCAGTGACTGACATTGCTCTAAATGATGTCTTTTGTCAAAGATAACAAGAACGTAGCTGAGCAGTTGAAGAGAAATGGAGTTCTGTCTCATTTGAAAATAATAATGTATGATATGGAAAAATATTCCAGTTTCATTCATTGAGACATCAAGATAACTATTTGTAAAAAGATCTCGTGTAGTTACCAAATGTACTTTGTGAGGAAGTTTAAGGCTGTGTATCTGCATGGACAGGTTTCGGTATCTCTGAACCATGTTCCTTCTTACCCATTTCAGGTGCATAGTGACTAAAAATTGATACTACATTGTGTCTGTTTGCCACTGAGTTAATGATCTGTCGTGCTTTGGACAGACCTACATGTTACGATTTTTTAATATTCATTGGCCATCTCAGCAGAAGGCCAGAGTTGGCAAAGAAGCTGCAAGTCTGTCTTAACAAAGTCAGACATGAGATTGTAACTGATGGGGTGAGGGGAGTTGAGAACTATCATGGGCTACCATAGCTCTTCAGCTGTTCTGAAAGTTTTACACACTCTTTTATTCCCTTTGATGAAATCTTTTGCTGTGTGGGAGAAAAAGTTGATACCTTAGGAAAATAGAAAATTTTATGTTTATGTGCCAGGATGTTATTATCAATCGTCGTTTGATCACTTTCTAAAAAATGTGATTGAAATATATTTACTACATTAGTTCATTGCCAGAATGTACACCATGGCCTGCTACTGTTTATTTACAGATTTCATCTGGCTTCTGTTTTTTTGAAATAGAGCTGTAAACAGTATAAATGCTCTGTTTGAATGATGTGATTGTTGAACATGCAGCTGTATGGTTGTAAACAGGTCTTGTACTTCATGTTGTCTTTTCTAATTACCTGCATTAGTGTCCAGCATGTGTTAGTGTATCTTTAGCCTTGCTTTTAGCACTACAGGGACTTTGTTTTTGAAGGGAATATTGCAATTATGTTTCCTGTACAAGTCCATGAATACATCTTTATAGTTTTTGGCAATATCCTTGAAACAGAGATTTACAAATAGAACGTAGGTCTACTAATTGAACAAATGCAACTACTGTAGTGAGCTGCATGCTGTTAAATGCCTACTTAGTATAGCTTTGAAGAAATCACACAGCACTCTTGCTGGTCATGCTTGTGCCACAGGTCTAACCTGGGCTTCTATGGTATTACTATACTGTAGTTACACATCAGTGACTGGTGCTTGGGTACTTCCATGGCAGTGAGTAGTTTCAATTCCTGACTAGCCTTACATGAGTTTCTCAACCATCTGAGGCTTTGCTTTGGTGTGTAGGCAGATGGACTTGCCTGGCAGTCATCTCCAGGCATGCTTCCTCAGTGCCTGGAAGAAAAAGCATGTTCTCCTGTAATTGATCAGGAAAGAGTTCTTAAGCAACTCAGTCCTAAGAATTGCCCTGTGAGCTTTGCGAAGCAATTGCGAAAGTTTGAGAAAGCGTGTACAGATACGATCTACCAAATGTATAATTTAGGCTTCAGATTTTGATAGTGTTAAATATTTTATGATTTAGCCCAAAGGCTAAAGCCTGGATCATAATTGCCTCAAAAATACTAGAAATACTACAAAAAAAAAATACTAGAAACAGAGATTCTCAATCTTCATAGATAACAGAGGCAGAAAGTACATCTCTACCCCAAGGTGAGAACACTTTATCTGCCATACCTGATGCAAGTTCGTCTAACTTGTTCTCAAAGACCTCCGGGGATGGAGATCTCTAAGATCTCCACAACTTTGTAATCAGACAACTGTTCCACCAATTTCTTAAAGCTTGTAATTAAGAAGTCTTTTCTTAGTGTCCAATCTAGAGCTTCCTTGCTACAAATTAAACCTTTTGCTAGTTGTCCTGTGATAAATATTCCTGCACACTGTGAACGTTGAGAAGAGATTATTCAGAAACTCTGCGTTCTCGCATTAATTTTATTTCGTGTTAGAGATGTCTGTATTTAAATGGTAGATAAACTATTTAAATTTCATGTAATGACTCCAATTATGGGAGAAGATGGAGCCAGATTCTTCTTGGATTTGCAATAAGCAAGAAAGGGGCAACAAACGCAGCTTGGATCATGGGGAGTTCCAGTTAGCTATAAGGATATATTTATTTATTTCCCCTTTTGCTATAAGAGTGGTCAAATATTGACAGAGGTTGTGCAAGAACATTGTGGAATCTTTCACAACATTCACAATTCAAAACTCAGCAGTTCCTTGAACTTAGTGAATCTATGTAGCTGTTCTTACTGAATGTCCATAATTCTGACTTCATCTTTAATTTTAAATTCTATATAAAGAAATCAAAATTAAGCCGAATGTCATAGTTTGTCACATAATCCCCTTTAGCATCATTTTGTTTCATATTGTTTTTATTTCACATGTTATGTTATGTAAGTAATGTCTGCGTGCTTGCTGAATACCCTCATTGTAGACCCAGTAGAAATGATTCTTTGACTTTTGGGAGCCAAGAAAGCTGGAATATTACTGCCAACCATGAATTTTTTAGAAACTGAGCTACTTTTAAAAAATGTAGCTGTTGCTGCCCTCAGAAAAGAATGAAAATCAAAACATTTTTTTGGAGCTTGTATGATCAGGATTTCTCCTGTGGAATCCAACAGCAAATCTTTGGCAAATATTTAGACTTTCTTTGGAATGAGATGTTATAGGAGAATGCACAGAATCTTCTGTTTGCCCACGATACCTTGTTAAAGTAATGGTATTATCAGCTGTATGTGTTTGGGAAGACATTTCTAGATGGTGCTATCTAGTGTTCTGGTAAGTTCTTTTGTCGTACTGGAGGTTTTTAGAAAAGATGATCCTGAAACATTCTTCCTTCTCTACTACTCTAGTTCGTCAAAGATTGTGAGCAACTTCATTTCAGGATGGATAAAATACAAGGGCTTAAACCTTGCTGAGTCTGGTGCATAGAATCACTGAGGAAGAGAGTAATACCAGTAGCTATAGCCCGCTATTAGAATTTAAGTGTGTGGGGAAATCACACTGTCTTAACCTGTTCCCAGTGTACTGCCTACTTGTACGTGCTTTTTCTTTTTCACACTGAAAAGGTGAATTTGATCTTTATTTTATTTAATTTATTTTTGAATATCAGGAAATTTATCAAGTAAAAGAGTAAAAATCATTTCATGATTGTAAAAGAATTTTAATTAAAAGGCAGTGAATGGAAGAGTAGTTCTGGGAGAATGTAAGGAAAAGAAAAGAAAAAAGACCGTTTAAATCCATTCTTTGTGGCTCATACTAGACCTAATCATAATTAGGAGATGTGTCTGTATTTATATATTGAGAAGTGAGTGCCAGTTCTTACTCTTTAATCAGAGCTTTAAAGTAATTTCAGGAGAAAATTCAGAGAGGAGAATTGTATGAACAGAGTTTCTTAAATTATAACATACGCTTTCTCATTCTAGAGGCTTTTCCTGAGTTAGAATTCACAATGAAGGTGACCTAGCAGAAACTTTATTTAAAACTGTTCCTCTTTTTTCTCTTTGTTTTTATGTGAAGCCTTTGTGCTTAC